TTATATGCAGATTATACACCTAAAGGGAATAGTTAACCAAGAAATTAGGAAAAAGTGTCATTAAGAATCAAGTTAACTGAGAAGTTATGGGTGTTACTTTTAATTTCATCTATTATTTACAGTTTATTTTTAAGGCAAGACATTTCAGGTAAAACCATTGTTTTATTTAATGTTCTGGTTAATTATGAGAGTTTGGGCTATTTTGCTTGCATAGCATGTCTTCTTTTAGACTAGTGTAAAGAAGACATCCAAAATACGCATTTCAGTTTTATTTTATTACACTTAATCTAGTTGTGTCTGTAGATTTCAGTTACAATTCATATCTTTAAAAGCCATATTTATATAACATTTTATTCTTAAAAACATGGTGAAAAGATTTTCTGGTTTATGGAATGATTAAAAAGAGAGATCCAAAATCTTGTCTATAAAAACCATTAACATAAAATATGTCAAACCAGATTTTTTTTCAAGGTTGTTTTATCCAGTGTTATGATTTCTGTTCTGGGAATTTATGAAAATGTGTGTATTATTATTGGTGCATACTTAATGTAATATTTGCATATTTAAACACAGCGTTTCAGAAAACTTGTAATACTACAACCTTAGCTTAATGCACTGTAAATTAATTAACTGGGGAATATAATGATATCAATTAATGAAAACTAATAGTAAAAAAGGTATCAAGTAAAATTTTTACCGTATTCACCAGTTGATGTGTTGCCTTAAATTGTCTTTAGCCACCGTAATGTCATGATGCGACTGAACCTCCAGCTCACCATGGGAACCTTCTCGCTCTCTTTATTTGGTCTGATGGGTGTGGCTTTTGGAATGAATTTGGAATCTTCCTTTGAAGAGGTTGGTACCATTTTACTACAGTTTACTGTTTTATTACTGTGTACCGTTTTACTTCAGTGTTATAGCCAACATTGCGTACAGTGTTATCGGTCTGTTTGAGAACATGTTGTTTATTGACCCACATTGATTTGTGTGTGTGTGTAGGACCCGCGTGTATTTTGGTTAGTGACCGGGTTCATGTTCCTGGGCAGTGGACTCATCTGGAGAAGACTTCTCTCTTTTCTGGGCCGGCATTTAGAACCCAGCTCTCCACCTCCTGTACGTAACACTCCTTCATGTTTACTATTTTTCTCTTCAACATTATAGTGATGATTGTCTATAAAAAACAGTTTTTTCTTTCTTCTTCTTTTTTCACAGATTCCCCCTGTATGGAAGAAAAACCAAATTGGCACCTTAAAAGCAACAGACATAAAAACCTGGAATTAGATGATAGGGTGACTGCTGTTTTTCAATATATTTTTTTCCATCCTTCTCTGTATCTCTGACTTTTATGCATACTGTATTTTCCAGTATCATGTGCCGCACACCTCAGTCTAACTTATCTATTCAGGTATATCATGTAGACATTTTTATTTTACTATGTGATATTTGTCTTGAGGTTTTGGAAGAATTTCTGTATTTATTGTTGCGAATACCATTGACATAATGAAATACATCAGAAAGCTTTTATTGACTGTTAAGTGTGTGTGACATTTTCAAAGACAAAATGATCTGCCACTAACTCAGTTTCCCTGGTTACCCTTTAAAAAACACGTTTATGAATACATAACTTTGATAAAACATTAATTTGTTGTGGGCTCTTTATTTTAGGCATCTAAAATAAAAAAATTGATGTTTTTGAGTTCTAATGCACTTGTGTATACATTATTTAAACTTTGAGTTCTTATTAAAATGCTTTGAACCTCTATTTGCATGAAGTGCTCTATTAATGAAGTGTATAGTGCATTATTTAAAGTGTGCTTATACTTCACTCGTATCAGGACAGAACAGCAGGTGGAGACAAACCCCCACTACACCAGTTCCTTCCATATTTTTATTATGGTATTTTTATTCCCCAAAATATTCACACAGATAGGTTGTATATCTCAGAAGACAATATTACAAACATCATCTTACTAATTAAAAATGTTTAAGCATTCCAAAAATAACATACAAACACAGAAAAAAAAGTTGAAACGTGTTTTAACGAGTAGGGATTACACTGGCATAGAATTGACAATGACTAATCAACCACATTTTGAGTTAAAATAACAGGGCTGTTACTACTGTAAAGACATGACAATTATGGGATGACATTCAAACAATGCAAGAAGATTTCAAAATCTTTGCCAGTTTGTTTTTTCTGTTGATGACTGGTGGCTGATTACCACATTTGTGGGTTATTATAGCAACAGTTGCAACAAACAAAATAAATAAAACAATAGCTATGAAAAATTATACATTTTATTCGCCTTTTAGCACTGCTTGAATGGGTTTGCAATTGGAATTTTGATTTACATCGTCTATGTAAGATGGTTGGTGGTAGACAGTTTATAGTTGGTGGTTCTCAACCAGGAGGTCATGACAGCAAATGTGAAGATTATTGAACTTTACTTATATTAATCTAAATTTAATTTAATTAAAAAACTGGCATAATATTTTTAAACTTTAATTTATTTTTATTTTATCAGATGTAGGGTACATAAGATGACAAGAGGTCCTTCAATTGTCTCAGACAAAGGTGTTCTTGGAGTCAAAAAGGTTAAGCACCACTTATCTAAAGTGGTAGACCCTTCTAGACCAGCAACTAACTAGTTACCAGCTTGTCATGCCAGTTTGAAGCTGTTTTTTCCAGGACCAGAAAAAAATGAGCTGCGACTACTATTGGACCAGTTACCAACACTGACGCTCTTCTGTCTCGAAGCCAAGTAAGCTTCACACATAGACCAAATTTTGACCGGAATTCCGTCAAAATGATGTTAGTGTACTAGGTTTTGAGACAAAACCTCTTACTGGTCCAAGTGCAAAAATCCTCCCCCGTCTCTCTCTCTCTTTCTCTCTCATCCTCTATCCGAGCAGGCTACTGGAGAGCCGCGCTGCCTCACATGGACCCGAGACTTTAACATTGCATCAAGACTCTCAGCTGTTGTTCCCTTTTGGAAAGACAAAAGAGAAGTTTGATCAGGTGGAGCAAAACGCCAAACATCTCTTCAGGAGGATCTTGCGTATGTGTTTTAGTAAAAGAACGAAGAGAGCAGCTGGTTTGAGGAGCGCAGACGAGTGCCATCCTACGAGTTCTTGGCAAAAGACTTCTTAAGCGGAATAATGAGGAACATTTGGATATTCCTGACACTTTCAGCAGCTGTCTGCTTGTCCAGCGACAAGGTGAGTTTGAGCAGAGTTCATGTTATCTCCGCAAGTTGTTGATTGACTACATTCTTACATGAAACACACCGTGTAGTGTTGTTATGATAGACATATATGTTGTGTAATGCATATTATGCTTATTTTATACATTTTAATCACACGTACATCTTTTGATTCAGCAAGTGTGATAGCGTGGACCTGGCAAGATCTGTAAAGCCCATCATGATCATATCATATAGGCCTATCAGATGCTCATCATTTTACAGGGATGCCCAAACTTCTGGAAACATTTTTTTTAAGAGATCCCTGAGAAAGTTACAAAATACTTCTCAGAGGATTCACTTGAAGTTTCATGTCACTGGACCTTCCCCCTGAGACAAATTTTAGTCAACCTGACGAAACCTGATCTCCTCCTGAGAGAACCTGAAGGTTTCTCAGCCAGTTTTTTATGCTCTAAAAATTCAGATGAGTTGACTTTTTCAACTTCTGAAATCGAAGACCACTGTGCTGTCGCAAATCAAATTCAGATTAAGACGTGCTGTAAAAAATGACAGTGAATTTAACTGTAAAAGACTCTAAAAATGTTACAGTAAAAACCTGTTAAATGATTAACAGTAAATTCCCCTACTATATACGGTGAAAACTGTATTGGACATTACATGTATTGGACATTAATGTTACGGTAGTATACCGTTTTTGGAAGTGAAAAATACTGTATAATTTACAGTGAATAACCGTAAATTGACATTCCCAGAATTCCCTGCGTTACATTTCATATTTGATGTTTTTTGTTGTTGAAATAACTATGTTTCTTCTTAGTTTTTTCCTGTCAGTTTTGTATATTAGGGTGGTGTGTTACACCTAATGTTGTTAAATTAATGTTTATTGCATTATTTCAGTTTCATGTGTGTTACCATGATGGTGTTTAGTGTTTGTGAGAATGACACTGTGCACCTTCTATATATGTTATTATTTAAAAGCTGCTTGTGATGGGCTTTGGTTCATCATGTGACTTTCTCATCACCACCGGCATTTGCTGGTTATCAGTGTATTACAAAGGTACAACACAGATTTCAGTACTTCAATAGGTTGGTATATTAACATTATATCAGTTAATGAAATTACGGTATTTAACTGTAAATTTAAGTTAAAACCGTAAAACTGTAAAACCTAAAACGTTGCTACCGTATTTTTTACGGTAAAATTCCGGCAACCACAGCTGCCGTTTTTTTACCGTGTGAGTAAACCGTTTCAGAGCTCTGAACCGTTGAGGAGAACTCTGGGAGTTTTTGTTTTCGCAAAGAATTTCAATTCCTCCTTATCCGAGTTTGTTCTTATCCGTAGGACTCACTGTTCTGTGTGCGAATTAGACTGCAAAGCAACGCTGTACATCGATTCCCAATAGCAACACTGCTTTCAAAGTGCTGTCACGCAATTTGCAGGTTGCTTCAAGACGCAGATTTGTATGTTATTCACCTTTAGCTTTCAACTGTGATGAAGCCCATCACAAAGAAGCAATATCAAGCCATCACAGTGTAATTTTACAGGAAGACATTTAGAGGTTGTTAAAAGCCTTTGTGCTGTCTGTGCTGGTACCTTGTTTATTGATTTGTTGTGCAAGTGTAGCAGCATGCCCTCATGTTCTCAGTACATCCTGAAATAATTTATTTCTCTCTCATTTTAAAGCCTTGGCGATGGTTTTACAAACTCTTTGCTTTGACCGTGAGTTCAAACAAGTTGCACCATCTACAGTTTTATCAGTGCTAATCATTCATGGTGAATAAATATGCTCAAGCATATTTAAGTATTAGCCAATCAGTTTCTAAAGGTGACATCTTATTTCTGTATTCTAGAGTAGTATAGGAAAATGAATGCTTCACTTCAATGTGTTTTCATTGAAATGAGAAGTTAAAAGGTTGATAGGTTATTTCATGATTCTTATTAGAGGTAATGAAACTAATATGAAAACGATCATTTAATGTTTCAGTTCTTTTCATTCAATTTTGAATGTATTTCAGATTTCAATTCCTTAACAGTGAGCATTATCATAATGGGAAGCCTCAAAGTCACAAATTGCACCAATTACCATTAAATAATCATATTAACCGGTGTAATATTAAGTGACTAAGTGTTGATAACAGATTATGTGAGTGGCCTTTCTTGTTGTGCTGTTCCACAAAATAATGTCATCATAACATGATGTAACCAAACATAAACTGAATCCATTCCCAAGACAATGTTGTGACAGACGTATGACTGTGCTGATGCCTCATTCATGGCCGTAAACAGACTCCCACTCAGAACACCTGTGTGCACTTCTAGTAAAGCCAGTATCTGAGCAATATTTGTGTGCTGACAGCATATACAATCATGGGCAGAGGAAGTCGTGAAACAAGGATCTTGTCAAACAGTGTGTGTGTGTGTGTGTGTGTGTGTGTGTGTGTGGAAACCGTAACAGAATTGAATCTAATGAAGTCTGATCTGAATTTCTGAGCACCACAATTAGCTTAGCAAATGGAACATTTTTGTGGGATAGGAAAAGCAGACGGCTATGAGTTTTGCATTGGATTGAGAGAAAAAGTCTCTCTCTCTCTCTCTCTCTCTCTCAATTCAATTTCAATTCAATTCAGTTCAATTAAAAATTGCTTTATTGGCATGATTGTAAATGATACAATATTGCCAAAGCTTAGTATACATGTACATAATAATTAAATGAACATCACAGTAATAGAATGGAATATCATAACAACTTAGAATTATTAAACTGTAACAAATTATAACATGTGAACATTTGATACCACTCTCTCTCTCTCTCTCTCTCTCTCTATATATATCTATCTGTCTGTCTGTCTGTCCAGCCTTGTTTATGCATTTTTAGTAGCGAATCCTGCAACAGGCAAACATTACAGTGAAAAGAATACATAGCTTGGGGAGGGACAAGTGAGAAATCAGAGAGAGAGAGAGAGGGGAAACTTTGTGCAGAGGTGGTGGGCTGAGTGGTCTGATAGTGTGAATAACACGTAGCAGTTAAACCCCACAGTGCAAACTACTAAAGAACCCTTAATCAACCTAAGAGTGTTCAGTTTAGAGTTTACACCAGCGTTCTGGCCTCTTTGATTTAGGCTAATTTTAATTATAGTCATTTTACTTCACTTTTAACTTTAATTATAGCGTATATGAATATATGAATAGGTTACCAGTGCAAAAGCTGTAATAGTTGATAATTGCACTTTTTGGAACGTTATTCTTTCACAATGTCGTGATATATTAATGTACAAGCCAAAAGAGCGTTATAGGAAATGTGCCAAAAGTCCAAGTGCTGTTTATCCATACTGAAGACCAATTTAGCATCTGAAAAGAGCAGCGTAGCTGCCAGAGGCATGTGGTATTCTCATCTGTTGTGGGTGTGCTTTCAGAAACACATCTGTATTTACTGTGCACTTTTTTTTGCGTAGGAGAAATGTAACACTGGGTAAATTTGCTGTCTGTACATGTCTGTCCACAGATTTATGTGGGTTCCACTCGCAGTTCTAAATCTGGAGCGTTGTCAATCAGTGCGGTGTATGTGTGTTAGTTTGCAATTTCTAAAAGTATTTGTTCTTTAAAGGAGACATATTATGCCCCTTTTTACAATATGAAATATAAGTCTCTGGTGTCCCCAGAATGTGTCTGTAAAGTTCCAGCTCAAAATACCCCACAGATCATTTATTATATCATTTTGAAAATGCCTATTTTGAGTGGAAGCAGATACACGCTGTTTTTCGGGCCTGTTTCTTTAAATGCAAATGAGCTGCTGCTCTCCGCCTCCTTTTCCAGAATAGAACTGCGTCATTACAGCTAGTACCTGCTAAAAACATCTGTTTTGGTTCTGATTATCATGTTTATCGTGCTGAAATCATGTGTTTTAAACCATGTCAGTTTAAACTTCTGATATACGGTTTTCTGAGTGCACACATCTGAAGCACACGGACAGAAAGCGGCTGTCACAGCATGTGAGTACTAAACTAAGTTCTCAATCACACATGAGTTACAAAAACGGTTATGTCTGTGAAGGTAAACAGCGGGGAAATAAATGGCATGTTTATTTTAGATCTGTGTGGCAGCAGCAATATACAGTAAATAAATCAATAAATCCACTGCTCTCTTGTCTCCTCTGAGGCTGGGACTCTAAATAGTGTTCTGTGCTCGTCTGTGCAGCCAAAGACAGAACAGTTAGCATGTATTGCTCGAACTTTCCCCATGGCATTAAAGCTGGTACACCGTTGTCGCCTGTGAAATCAAAATGATGGCGCCGTTAGTGGAAGTTTACAGATTAAGGGGCGGTAATATTATAATGAGATCCCTTTGCCACTTCACCAAGGGAGCGAAATCAGACACGCTCGTTTTTTCAGATGCTTGCAGAAAAAGGCTTACCAAAACAAAGTTACTGGGTTAACCTATTTCAAGTTTCCTTGGTTGGTAGATGCACCGGGGACCTGATTATAGCACTTAAAACCTGGAAAAGTCAGATTTTCATGATATGTCTCCTTTAAGGCCATACGTTTTTAAGAATTATGCTTGTATTAGCAGCAATGAGGCAATGGAACGCCTGTCAGTTGGTCCGGATGAAGGTGAATGCTTTTTGTGCCTGTATTTGTCAGAGCTCATCTGATAAAAACAGGGAGGATATTGTCCTGAAGTGATTAATAGTCCCAGGTGTTTCTCTCCATGGCATGCCAGTGAGTTGACATAGCAGAGCCTGCATACCGCAGACAGATTAGGCCACTGTCTGCAGTATTTTAGAGGAATGCGTCGACGTGAGAGTCCCCAGCCCTGCGTAAATCCCATAGATGGATGTGCTTCTTGTGTCCAGAATGCAGAAACATCCATGCCAGATGTTTTATGCACAATATGCACATGTTCCTGTGCTCTCTCCATGGGAGTAGCTTGTGTTTCGGGAAATACTAGCAGCGAAAGTCATAAACAGAGGAAGTGTGAGAACAGCTGGGTTATGGGGTATTTAGTTATTTGCTCATGCA